GAAGTTTTAAGTTCGAGCGTCTTTATCAGCCCACAGCCGCGCGATAAAGCGGAATTATGCAACGATGCCAGCAGCTTCGTGCTCCGCTAGTGTGAGTCTGAAGCACATGCGCAGACGCGAAGTGCTGCCAAGCGCATGGTGACTCAAACGGTCCTTCGGGGGCTGGGATAGGGCGCGTTTGATCCCCTCGACCCCTTTGTCATGTCTGTCGACCTCTCGCAGCATCGGAGATCGTACATCATCGCCCCAGTCGATTCCCTTCAGTAGGGCTGGGTTGGTCGGTCGTCGTCGTCGTCGTCGTCGTCGTCGCCGCCGCCGCCGCCGCCGCCGTCGTCGTCGTCGTCGTCACGCGCGCGTGGAAATTCGAACCTACAATCAAGGGCAACGGATGTGCGTAAATAGCATTTTAATTCCACCAGGAAGGGCGAATTCGTACATAAACCACACGAAACGACCGTCGACCGAGGGGCTGCCCCGTTCGACGTGAAGTCGCCTCCTTAGTACCGTCTAACACGACGCGCGCACGTTTTCGCAGACGCTGAGCCTCACTGCGCGATTAGACGGCACTAAGAAGATTTCCAGACCCGCCCCCGGGGCCCCGGTCGCAGCCCATAACGTGCGCAGGAGGTGCTAAACGCGATTCAATTTAGCGTCCGAGGGTTAGAATGAGCTGATGGATCAAAGCTGGTCGATAGAGCCCAAACTCGCGACTATTCTGTGAAATCGAGTGGTGTCCAGCTTATATGCAACGAAAATCAATGGACATGAGTAGTCCCATGGTGTCTTAATCCTCGGTAACTGATTTGGAACAGGAGTAATTACTAGTAGTTACCTATGCATTACCGTACTGAGTATATTCTCGGTAATTTTAGCCGGCGGTCATACTGGCAGTGGAGTACTAATTGCAATCGTCGTGCGGCCGGGGCGGGGGTGCGAAGCCCGAACCTCGGAGTGGGCGGTTATGGCTGGGCTCTTGTTGTCGTCTCGCGTCGATTCGGGAAGGGGGCGGGGTTAGCGGCCGGTGTGGTCCGGGGGGGCGGCGATGGTGTAGGCGTCGGCGCGGGAGGCGGCGCGGGGCGGGGCCCGGCTGAGACGCGGGGCGGGGCCCGGCGACGTCGCGTCGCCCGTCGAGCGCCACTGCCGCGTGCGCGTCCAGGCGAGGGTGAGGGCGAGGGCGAGGGCGACCGCTGCCGCGCGCGCGGCGGCGCAGCGGCGCTC